GATAGATAGATAGATAGATAGATAGATAGATAGATAGATAGATAGATGGATGAGAGGGTGGGGGACTAACAATCACTACAACCACATCAAATATACAAAATAGCTTCATTAGGAAATGTGTTTCTTCACAAAATGGCTTGGAAAAAATAAAAGATAAATCTGACAAAGGTCAAATTTGAAGAAAGTCAATAAGGTTTTTTTTTAAAATGTTTATAATTTTGCTTTACAGAAGCAAAACCAAAAAAAAATAGTTAAATAAATCTAAGGAACAGCTTTCTGAACAAGTTGTCTTTCTGAAAAGGACTGTCTTTTATAACGTAAGATATACGATTATTGTGGCTAAGATGGATGCATTCAGTCTTGTCTAGTTTCTAGAAAAATAAACTAATTCCTCAGAAATCTTTGTACAAAAAAAATTCTAGAACTTGCTAGAATATGCAGCTTTGTCTTGCAGCATGTCATACTCTTAGACTCTGTTGTTGCAGTGTGACAATTACCAAACTACTAGTGCCTCCCTGGATAAGACTCTGAAGTTTCTTGGCAAGAGTTTCAGAAGTTGTTTGTCATTGTCTGTGTTTTAGAACTGAGAGTGACTGGCCCAAGGCAACCCAGTTGGTTTCTGCCTTAGAAAGGACTAGAAATTAGAGTTCCTGGTTTCTAGCCTGATGCCTCTAGCACTAGACCAAACTGGATCTCAGATATACATTAGTAGCTAGTTATATTGCTATTTTTGAAGGTAAAAATAATAGTACTATAAAACAAACAAAAAGCATGATTATCCATGTTCTGTTCTTTGTATAGGGTCACAAACTAAAAGTCAAACAAAAATAAAGATTTTTGCAGTGTAGTCAATATATATTATAACTGATTCTTTGATACATCATATTTTGTTATCTGTAACACAAAATACTAAAATACTAACAAAACACTAATACTAAAGAACAAGGTTCATTTTATCTTTGTCACTCTTTATTTTTAATCAGTTTTTTTTAAAGAAAATTGAAATGTTAATAACATACACATTCACCTATAAGCAAATAAGACATACAGAAACAACACCTTCTCTGAAAGTACTAAAACTTGAAATTCTTCCACTCACTTCTGGCTTGTCAAATCAGAGTTTTTAAAGCATAATGCTCTACACTAGACTTCATTGCAGAAATGAATAAGCAACTCTCAATCTTTCTTCATTACATGATGTTCTGCAGCTGAGACAACATAGCCTAATAAAAGAGTGTAACAGGCTGCAAGAAGCAGTATTATAACAGAAAATCTTTTCTACCCAGACTCATCAAATTATCATTAAATTTAATGGCAGCATTATAAGCATAATGGCAGATCCTGTAAGTACTTCTTTCAGCCCATCTGTATCTCAATTGCTGCTAATATATTTTGCTAGAGCAAGAATAAAAAGATGCCATGCTCAGTGAGCTGTTTAATGTAAAATTATACTTTAAAATTATCTTAAAACATAGTTCATTTTTAAGATAATGATAAGCTATTCTATTTGGTATATAGACAGCAGAAAATCTAGTCAATTTGCTTGGGTCATTAGTGTTGTGATCCTGGTTCATTTTTTCCCTTGAACCATTATAACTCTCTTAAGATACCAGCTTTCTTTTGCAGATACCCAGTTTCTGCCTGTATATTTAAATTAAAATTTAAAATTTAAAACATCATTTGATGTTTCCATGTTGCTATGAATTCTTAAATGCTAATAATAACTTTTTAGTATTATACATAAACAGTAGAATCATATAATTAGATGATGTAGCTCTTTCCCTAGTTTTAAAGAAAACAAATACCCAATTTTAATTTTTTTGGACCAGTGGAGACTTTTTCAAATTCATAAAGCATGTTGTGTGCATTGATTACAAAATACCTTAGCAAAATGTTTAATTACAAAAACTCCACTATGTTGAAGATTACCTATTCTAAAACAGCTGCATATCAGAACATATCATAGTACCTTCAAAGAACAAATAAATACAAGCTTCAAAAGCTAGGAGCTGCAATCAGAAAGTCTAATTTTACAGTTTGCAATATTTTATTTGAAACTACTCTACAGTTATAATGGGAATGTGAAAGACATTAAATGAAGCTAGAATTCTAGTACATATCCACCTATACTAGTAATGCTGTAGGAAAGGCTTTAGCCATAAGGAAGGAAAACAATTGAAGATCTGTAACAAAGTTATTTATAGTCATACAAAGAATACAGTGATAACCGATCTCTCAGTTAAAAGAACGTTCTATATACAAAATTGTATAAGGTAAGGAATATGCATGATGTCATGAAATATAATTCTCTTCCGAAGTCCCAAGAAATTCCAAACCTGTGCATTATGCGTCCTTTAAGGAAAGAATAATTGATCTGTCACAATAAAATTATATGATTCATTACCTCCTCAAACAGAATTCATATATTGTTGAATTTGGAAATATTTAATAGCAAATCATGAAAGTTTTCATAAACATGTGTGTATATATTTTTAAATACTTATAGGTTAAATGATACATAAGGCCTGTCGCCTATACTAGAAACATTCAAAAGATGAAATAAGGACATCAGAAGTATATAGGTAGGTATAGGGATAAGGTTTTAACCCAACATTGAGTCTTAATTTTTAATTCAGTAAGCAACTGACCTGTGCAGATCTTTGGCTATCCAAAATTCAATGATTTGCCATCTCTGATCTATTTTGTTTCTTCTAGCTGATTGTGGAGGTCCATATGATTTGTGGGAACCAAACACTACATTTACTTCAATGAACTACCCAAACAACTACCCCAATAAAGCATCTTGTAAGTTACATGTCTTCAAAATTTTAGACGTTTGCTTAAAAATATGAAACACTTTATATGGCCATGAATAGAATTATTGAAGATCATATTGAGGTTCATTAGAAGCTTTTGACTTCACATTCAATAAAATTTTAATCATTTTTTTAAAACATAAAGATTATACTTTTTATGATCTTTTTAAAGGAGCACATGCTATTGTAAAAATATAAGAAAATTCTCATTATGTCTCATTTTCTGATTTGTTGTAGCTATTATAGCAGCCAGAGCCTAAAAAAGCAAACTGGACAAAGCTAGATCCCCATTCTCATGTAACTAGGAGTCAATGATATAGGCAGCTCATCATATCCACCAACTAATGGTAAATGGATGTGCTTTTTATCCATCTGGCATTAAAAAGCAAAAAAAAAAAAAAATTGAGGCAAAATGATCTAGTGATCTAGTTCCATGAAACAAACAATTGGACCAAAAGGAGAGAATCTTACAAAATTGTAGGTCCCCTTTTTTCTAGAGAGTTCACCCAATTACCCATTTTCTTTGGCAATTACAAGACAGCTTTGTTAGATGCCATAGTCTCCTCTGATCTTATCTCAGTAGGAGCAACAAACCCACCCTATACCATGAAGCCCACTGTTTACTTCATTCTACCATGAAAACACTACCTATCAATAACCACTGGTCAATCTCTTTTGGACACCCTCCTATAAAGCTTTACTGCTGCTAGAACCTTGATTCATCAGATTTCCTATGTTCTACTCCAGGATTTGCTATCTTGTTTCACTTAATGTTTCTTCTTTTTAAAATTTGTTAATTAGAATTATACATAAAATAACAGTATTAAAAAAGATAAAGGAAAATATTTTCTTTCGGGAAAAAAAGTCTATGTAGGGCTTCCAGTCTTTTTAAAAAGTCTATTCACTTCACTTACTGTTTCTGGTTCAGAGTGGGAAATTTTTCACCCCATTTTTTCTTCATAACACAGCTACAACGATTCCAAAGTAGTGGGCAGCCATCTTTCATGCATCACCTGCCTCCAATCTTGGCCCCTTGATTATCCGTTTGCTTACCAAAATCACATCATTCTGCATTCTTTTCCTATCAAGCATCATCAACCACTGCACAACTTCTCAGCCCATTTATCATTCCCACATATTTCATCCCAAAACTTTTTATTTCCAAGTAGCAGAGTTAAAAACTTGGAGTGAGGAGGCTGAAAATCTGAAAGAAAACATATAGAAAAGATAAATAGGAAAGGTGTCTCTAAATTGTCCCCAAAAGTTGGAGTAATTAAGTCTTTAGTGTAATCCAAATTTGTCTCTTTCTATGTACTTGTTATATACTCTTATACTTCTGTGTAATGGAAAAACTATTAAGAAGAAACCTATCGCCTTGCACACCTAACATTAAAAATAATCAGAACACTATTTCTAATCAACCTCTCCTGAATTTGCTCAAAATTTTAGAATATAATAATAATAATAATAATAAATTTAAAATTTGCAGAATATATTAAAGAAGTCTGATTTGAATAACCACAACATTAGTGAGAAATAATAATAGTAGTAACATAATAATAGTGATAGGGACAACATCTCTGGCTAGTTGTGGCCATTGTGCCTCAGGTGAACTTGGAATCCCAGAATATGTTTTTTAAGGTGCAAATGCTAAGAAGAATCTCAACTAACTCACTGCCCAACCACCCATCAATGGTTAAATAATTCTGGTTATCTTCCTGAAATTGCCTTTTTAACAACTAAGTTAGTAACCTATAACCCATAAGGCTGTGTCATACTGAGAATTGTTAACAGATATATTAAACTGTTGTAATGCCATTATACTTTGGGGATGTATTGGAAGTATTTTAACATATAAAAAGTGGATCTTAATAAAAATAATGATTATGATGACAACTAATTATGTAACCTGCTTCTTTATGGAAACTATTGACAAATCAGTATTTTTGATTTCTATCTTAAATTTTATAATTTTAGGTGTATGGTATTTGAATGCAGAAAAAGGAAAAAACATTCAACTTCATTTCCAGTATTTCAATTTAGAGGATATTTATGATGTCGTAGAAGTCAGAGATGGTAGAGGAACTGAGTCTTTATTTTTAGGCAAGTACATAAAATATATCAGTATGTGTGAAAAATTATACAAATTAGAATACTTCTCTAATTATGCTGTACTTTTAAAAAGAGTACACAGTGAAAATATACAGCAGGGGTATCAAACTCAAAGCGCTTATATCTGGCCTTTAAGGCCATCCTGGAAATAGCAAAGGACTGGCCCATGGTGCCTTTGCTAGCGGCATCCCTCACAGCCCATTTTTGGCCTGGATGGCCTCCTGCAGCACTCTGCCAACCAAACAGACTATGGAGGCATTCAGAGGCTTCTACAGGCCATGTCTGGCTGAAATGGAGTCTTCATGGGCTGCACTCGGCCCTCTGAGCTCTATTCAGACCTCTAGAGGCCTCCCTCAGCCTGTTACAGGCCAAAATAAAGCCTCCATGGGTCAGATTCGGCCCTCCCCACGCCATTTTCCATGGCTTTACTATACTTACATGTTGAAGAGCTCCAGAAGAGGCTGACCCATGTGGCAGAGAAGCCAAAGTCTTTTATTCAGAAGCCTGTGAAACTGTAAGAAGGTGTGATGTAAGAAAAAGCTTTCCCCATCTAAATAAAACACCAGCTTCTCTGCCATGAGGGCCTGCAGGCTTAGTTTGGGCCTAGTCTGGCTAGTGATAAGCAACCTCCTGCTTGCTGCTGCTGGCTAGTTTGAATGAACAGCTTCAGGCATTGGGGTATGGCAGCCAATCAACAAGGGGCTTGCAGTTCAACCCGATAAGACAAAGGAAGCAAGCTTCTTGTTGATTGGCTGCTGCTGCTGGCTCGATTTCTGAAGCAAGAGGCTGCTGTGGCCCAGTCCGGGCCTTTTGGGGAGCCACATGACCTCAGCCAATGTCTTTACTCAGAACCTGGTGAAATTTTTTTCCTTAGATTTCACATTCTTACAGCTTTGCCATCATCTGAATAAAACACTTTGCCTCTCTGCCAGTTGGTCAGCCTCTTCTGGAGCTCTGGAAATCTTCAAAAAGTAAGTAATCCATGGGAAATGAGGTGGGCAGGAGTAAGTGGAATCCTGGACACCAGCAAAGCAGGCCCAGTCTATGGGGACCCAGTGGGGTAGGATGGAGGACGCAATTGTGGGGACCCCATGGGAGTATGAGGTATCTTAGTGGATTGGGGAGGCCTTGGATGGCCTGCTCCAGCTCTAGGCCCTGTATGTTCTTCCCCACTCTGAGATACCTGCTCATTCAATTTACAAATGCATTGGAGAAAGCAGGGAGTGATCATGTTCATTTAATGTGATTCAATCAAACAAATCATTGGGTTACAAATGTAATTGGCAGACTCTATTACATTCATAACTCAAGGATTACCTGCATATGAAAATGAGGGGTCCTGCCTTAGCACTTGGCACCACAGGTGTCCCTCAACATGAGTCCTGTGTCACGCATACTATGACCATGCCCACCCCAGCCACATTCACTATGCCCCCTAGGCATGCCCTGCCCAGCCATCTGGGTTCAAACACAACCCTAATTCAGCCCACAATGAAATAAAGTTTGACACTTCTGATATACAGTATACAGTGTTTTTAACAATTCCAGAAATCTGTAAATTCCATGAGTTGAATGTGACAATATCATTTTCATTCATAAAAATGTCCACTAACAATAATATTTCAGATAAAATGTGATATATTTTCCTACATATAATTAAACTTTTATGTTGATTGATATAATCTAATTTAAGTTAACAAAGTTGCAGTATTGGGGAAATTAAGAAGATTGTGGTGTGAATATTTTCTTTCTCATCCATTGTTGCATCATTGTGCCATTTGCCATATGATATGCAAAGATTCCTGGAAGTTGTGGTAAGTTCTCAGAGAGAACTCTAATAGAAAATCAATATTTCTGATATATTATACAGCCTGGATACAGTCCACATAAAATTTCCAATCCAAACATTAAATCAAGTGTATATTTTAAGTTACACTACATTCAATATTGTCTATGAATAAAGAACATTTAAGGTTTAGCATTTGTCAAACTATTTAAAGTTTCAATCAGTATTGGTTTGTTCATTTGTTTTTCCCAGATTAAGCTTCAAAGATCATCCATCTAAATATGGATGAAAAAAGTAGAAGGAGAGCTTTTTCTGTCCTTTAAGTATTTTATTTTCTATCATTCTGATGTGTAACAAAATTATATTATCTTTGGAATAATGATATACTTTTCCTTGCTATGAAGCTGTATATACTGGAAAATCCCCATTGCCAGATATATTCTCTACAACTCACCAAATGACTGTGCTCTTCTTTTCGGACAAATCTGCAACCAGAAAAGGATTTGTAGCAAATTTTACTACAGGTTATCGTCTTGGCATGCCAGGTGAGTTTCCCATATACCACATACCACACCAAAGAATAGGAAACGAAGAACAGAGAGAAAATAATTGTTCAATTCCAGTGTCTTCTCTTTGATTCATTCTTATTTTTTTATTTGTTTTTATTCCCATCCAAGAGATTTGTAGGTTTGCCCATCTGTCTAGATCTTTCTGTATCTGATCTATTAATTTGTCATAGTTATCAGCCTTTATTGTAGAACACTTTGCTGTGAGCCAAATTCCTAGATGTTTTATTTCTTTTTGTTGTCTGAATCCCTGGTTCGCTTGTCAATTCCTCATTTTGCCTTTTAGTACAATTTTTTGTTATTATCTTAATCTTCTCTTTACTAATTTTAAGTCCTGCTGCCTTGCCAAATGCCTCTATTTCTTGTAGTAAATTTTTGCTTGACTCTTTTGGGTCCTCCAGTATAAAAACCATGTCTTCAGCGAACACTTGCAGTTTGTATGTTTCCTGTTTGATCGTTAGCCCTTGAATGTTTCGGTTTTTCCTTACCTGCGTTAACAGTACTTCCGCTGATAGAATGTATAGTAATGGGGCAAGCGGATACTTACCTGGCAGGGGGGACACCATGATCATTCTTATCTTACTTATAAGTTATACACCAGCAGTCCAGGTCAGTGATAAATTTTCACCTGCAGTATAATCCTGATTACTTATTAACTGCATTGTGCAGTTGAGACAGTTATGATTTTTCAGTAGATCATAATTAAATGAATTATGGCTTAGAGCAATCTAAGGACTCTGTCTATCTTTACTTCATATATGTGTTTTTCTAATTCCAAAATTTATTGGAAATAGCTTTTCAGAAATTAAAGAGCATGGGGGTAGGAGGGTAGAATTCAAACGTATTTCTAGCTACGTTTCTTCACTACAAATTAACTACATAGGAAGAAGAACAAAGATAGTCAGTTTTGGCCCAAGTATTATTGGCCTTTAGAGTAGCCCCTCTAAAAGATTTCTACATTAATTGCAATTCATATTTACTCTGAGTGTTCACCTCATGAAATTACTTGGCTATTGTGCATCAGAAATAATATATAAGATATGTGAAATATTTTACCTTATGTATGAGATATGAGAAATGTGCTTGTGTTATAAAAAAAACCATAAAAACTACTGATTTATTAGCTAATTTTCATAGGCCATAATAATCTGTGTCTTCTTCATTAACAGCTTCATGCGGACTGAATTATTATCAGTGTGGAAGTGGAGAATGTATACCCCAGGTTCAGATTTGTGATCAATTCCAGCATTGTAAAGATAATTCTGATGAAGCAGATTGTGGTAAATATTTATAAATACGAAAAATCATTTATAATTCTAAATTCAGGGAAGGTAACTATTTTCAAAGGGATAAGCACTCCTCACAAGCCTGCTGTACAGTAAAGTAAATCCCAAATGTACCTTAGGTTCTGTATGTAAAAGAAGGAAAGAAAGAAATGTTCTTTTATGTGAATGAATGGTAAAGTTTTGAATAAAAGAATTGGAATGTAAAAGAAAAAAGAAAAACCTACACATTACAGCAACCACATGCTGGAAAGCTGCTATTCTAAAGTGGGCAGGAAAGATTTTTGAGGAGTCACAGATCCCTTTTAGAGAGGGGACTAATCTTTTAGAAAAGAGGTTACCCAACCATCTCACTAAAAAAGGGAAATCTGTACATTGTTTTCTTTTACCCGCTTGTGTGCCTCTCCTTTTCTAATGAAGGAGAATATTTGTAGCTCAGGGTTGAATGGTGCAGTGGCCTATAGGTGAAGTTCTCACCTCACAATCAGGAGGCCGTGAGATCAATTCTAGGTAGAGGCAGATATTTCTCTCTCTGGACATGTTGAGAATATATCTGCTGAATATAACTCTTAACTGGTGACAGGAAGGGCACCCTGTCAGTAACCTCTCAACTCCATTCAGTTGCCCAGATTCTACTCTGAAAGGGATTACGGGGTGATTTGTAGCACAGGGTTGAAATGTGGGGTCCTTGGTGCTCTCTGAGATTCATGGTTTTGTTGCAGACATTTCATTATCCAGACTAGGTAACATCATTAGCACCAAGGACTCTTTTTCTATACAGTGAAAATAGAAAATATTAGTAAGTGGGGACTTCAGTCAAATACTCTGCAACCAAAATACATTTATTTTGATTTAGGGCCTTTTTATGTACATAAGAGCAGGGGTGCTTCTGCCAGTGCAGACTTATATATATTCTGCTCAACACATCCCAAAAAAAGCATCCTTAATCTTCTTTTCAAGGAAATTTAGGACCAAATGTAAGCTCAGTAAAAGTGTTTGACTGGAGCATAAAACGGCTGTGACAAGCCACATTTCAATTGTTTCACAACACAGATGCAGGTTACTTTGACAACACTGACAGCTGTTGTCACAGCACCATCTGTGAAAGTAGTTATTTACAAAATCAAATGTTCTGTGCATTGCTCTGTTTTAAATAAACTAAAAATAATAGACTCTACACAACATTGTATATGCAGATCCAATGATAAAATGATACAGAGAGCTGGTAAAAAAAAGTAATAGCAGTAACAGTTAATCCTCTGTAAGAACTGTCAATGGTTTGTGTGGATAGATGCTTAAATTTGTAGACATGGTTCTTTGCCTCACATTGGATATATTTTAATTCTTAGTATAAAAATCTTAAGACATTTTTTGTCAGGTATCTTACCTTCACTTGTTATTTTGCCTCCCACTGTGTTTGTGAAGAGGGAGAAAACTTTATTGTTGCTTTTCATAACATATCCTTAAAGCACACCAAGCACGATGGTTAAAAACTGGAAACATTATGGAAAATTTTCTTTACAGGTTAAATACATGAATTGCAGTATGTGGAATAAACTTTTTATGCAGATCCAATAGACATATGGTTGGATAATAGTATTTGTAACATTCAGACCCAAGTGAAAGATATAAACAGTGGTGGGATTCAAATAATTTAACAACCAGTTCTCTGCC